TTTGAGTTCAACAATAAAATAAAGAACCGAATCTTATATAATGTCTATATATTGTCTGTAAATTGCTTTTGGAAATGGTTTTGCATTCATATAATTGCTTCAATAATCAATTATTTATAACAAATTTCATTGTTTGCAAAGAACTGAATGGTTGAATAGTTTTGTCGCATATTTTGATTAACGAATCAAAATGTGTCCCAATTTTATAGGTTTTCATCACTTTTCCGATGAAATTAGAAATAAATATTAATAATAGAGTTATTAATATTCAATATTTATACCTTATTTAAGATATAAATATACAGTAGTGTTGAGAAGTAGTGGTGAAACAAATCTAAACCCCGAACCTGATTAAAACATAAACCCAATTCAATCCCTGGTTTGTAAAATGTGTCGTAAGTTTATTATTATTTTGTAGAATAGAATATTAGAATTCATACTTTAAGTAAAATATTCACAGAATATATAACAGAATTTGCAATTTTTACTAAATTTGAAGCATTAAGAACCAAAATAATTTTCGTAATTATTTTAAATGAAAAATGTTTTAATTAGTTTGATGTTTATATATTTCACCATCATTAAAAGTATCTAGTTTCAAAGCATATGAAGATTTCACATTTTAATAAAAATCTAGCCCAACATAACCATATTTAGCCTAAATGAAATGTTCAAATGAAAATTTCACTGAAATGTTCATCCCTACATCCAACTGTTGTCGTGCAACACATATAACTAATAGGAGTCAAAAAGTATTGTTTAATTGTTTAAAAGTGGCAGCAGTTCAATAAAACATCATAAATGTGGTGAAACGCATATAAAACCTACTATACTGTCATATTTTTCGGGTTTAGGGTTTGGGTTGAGTCGAGTCGAAGAATTTGTTGACATTTCGGTCATTAAAATACAGTATTTTTGCAACAATTTCCACCATATTTTGAATTTCTTTATTTATGTTTATTATATAAGATTCAATAATTAATGTCATACACTATAATATAGTTTTAAATATACTGACTCTACTGTACTTAACTACGAGTACGTTATGTTTGTGTTTGTTTTGTAGCAAACTATAAATTGTCACCAAAACTATAATTTATTTTTTACACAACTTTGGGAATGTTATAAACAGTTATTTTAATAGCAAACGTAAGAATAACTTATTATGAAACTCTCTCTCTCTCTCTCTCTCTCTCTCTCTCTCTCTCTTGTGGAAAATATAGTCAATTTTCTTTCTGCTCAGACAATGTTAGGCAAAATCTAAAATACTTAAAATAACCGTTTTATAAGTACATTAATTCGCTAATATAAATATTATCAGAAAGCACCTAGCACTTCTAAGATTTTGAGCATAATTTTATTTAACACGTTCATAACTCACTTCTTATTTGTTAATAATTTAAAATTCTCGTTTTGAAAAACATATTGAATGAGTCCAAAAATTAATGAAAATTCATTGATGTAACCAATGATGCTTAGAAATTAAAATATTTTATTACATTTCTAAAAGACGTCAAAAACAATTTAAACAAAGTATTACAACACATGACATAAACTCTGATATAATAAATAAAAAAGAATAAAATAAATGTAAAACATGTTTAAATTGTGGAAAATATAGTCAATTTTCTTTCTGCTCAGACAATGTTAGGCAAAATCTAAAATACTTAAAATAACCGTTTTATAAGTACATTAATTCGCTAATATAAATATTATCAGAAAGCACCTAGCACTTAAAAATTGCGCTGGCAAAATCTTATTCACAACAACTATACAATTATCGTTATTTTCTGTTCAAAATGTGGTTAATTTAAACCTCACCATGCTCAATAACTATATCCTAATAATAACTATATATGCTTATTTTATGTACAGGACATGTGTATTTTGTAACGGAGTTTATCAGCATCGATATCTGGTTACAATTCTTTTAAATCAATACCTCGAATGCAAAGCGAGCTTGGTTATTTTTAACAAGAGTTTATATTTTCCACGAGCGTATGTAATGTTCAACAAATTAAATACAATTTTTGAAAACATAATAATAGTTTTAATGAAAATGGAATTTACATAACTTACTGTAGAATCTGAAACAAATAACAATAATTTATTACAATAGTTAAAACTAAATTTGATTACGTTTGATAACTGAAACTAAATATGTGGATGTGATTCACTGCCATAGAAATACGATTATTATATTTTCAATTTATTTGTATTAGAAGTGTCTTTGTTTTTGTATACAGAACTTGTATTAAGTACAAAAACTAAAATATGTAAAACCGAATGAATTTAGTTTTTAGTATAAAATGTGTCTTAAATTTAATATAATTCAAAGTATACAAAACATTTAAATGTTTTTCTCTTGTAATTCTCAAATTCAATTCATTTGATTTACTATTACTTTGTGAGCGATTCTCTACAACTCTATTCTCAATATAATTGATACATTAAATAGTTTAGATTCGTTTAGAACACACGAATATAGCTCATCATATACTGTACTGAACAATACTGTAAGTATGGTTACCTAAAATAAGTGATCATCATCAATATGAACGCATATTAATTTGTAATTAACTACAATTAAACATCTTTCAAATGACCTGTAAATGATAGCCTATAGGTTATAATTGTGTGCATCACTCGTGAGTCTACCTATTGATTGCTGGCGTCAAATGTATGCAACTTATAAGCCGTCGATACTGTATGACAGATAACGTACAGTATGTGCAGTGAATGTGCAGTTTGTGTAATAGTGTTGACATACTGTACACAACACACCATAACATCGATATAACGTCAATATAAACAAACATTTGATGCCATTTAGCGAACCATTGATGCAATTGTGTGGCAAAGAGGGTGTGAAAGGGCTGTGAAGACTGTGAAGGCTGTGAAGCGGGTGTGAGTGAGAGGCGACCCATTGGTAGCGCAGATGATGTCTTTGTGGAGACTGGCCTCGGGATCCACTGTCGAGGAGTTCGCCAAAGATGTCTACATTAAGAGCAATATAACCATTGAATTGAATAAAACGATTCAATCATTACTGAAGACATTGAGTGAATTGGAGAGCAAAGAGTTGTCGGAAACTGAATTAGTGGTGCATTTGTGTGACATCTTTGAGGCCATACTTCTTCACGGACTCAAACAGAAGCTGACGACTCGTATGTCGAAAGTGTTTACGAGTCCTTCACAGGAGAGGAATGGCTATGAAATGGACTTTTGGACGATTGTATTGATCTTATGTCACAACGAAGTGTCCAGAAATGTGTGTCAATTGGCGAACATCTCGACCGACATCGGGAGGTGTCGGGCATGGCTTCGGTCGGCACTCAATGACGGACTCATACTCTCCTATTTGGAAGTGTTGACCGCAGACTCGTCTCTATTGCACGGCTTTTATCGGTCGTCGGCTTATATCAGAGACAAAGAGCACACGGATATCGTCAAGAGATTGCTTATTGGTCTCGAGTCCTATGTCTTCACTCTAACCATTGACAGCACATCTCTAGACTCGTGGAGTGAAACCACTCTAAGATTGATTGGATTTTCTTATGTGGAGAGCGAACCCCAACCGGTCGTTACGGCCATCGATGCCATTGATCTTCTCGTCGATGACAACAAAACTACTAAAGTATTGATTAATTATCTTATATTTAAATGGATTGTAATTGTAATTTGTTTAACATTTAGAGCGAAGAGAACATTGAATTTAAATTTAGTTCAGATAAAGACACTGAAGATGTGATCTCTGATAATATGTCTGAACCGGTGTTTGACATAAAGTCTATTAATTCAAATGAAGTGATCGATGAAATTGTGGGCGAATTAGAAATGGAGGGAACGAAGGATTCGGACTCAACCGGAACCACAGGAACGGCCGAAACGGGCAATAGTTTGAGCCGAATGTCGGGCTGGAGTTCCAGTCCTTATAAAAGCGACGAAACGCTTGGAATGCGAGACCAAAGTTATGATGACATTCTTCAGAGTTATTCAACGCAAGCCGTCCTCTCGAGTACTCCTGATATACGGGATTTGGCGACAACTATGGAGTTGGAGAAAGCAATGGCCAGACCTTTGTATTTAACAAAAGGGGTCGCGATTTCGACCGCAAGAGAACAGTCGCCGACTGAGTCCACGTCTTCGGAGACAGACTTTGAAATAATACCAAAGAGTATTGTCTTAAATAATTCAGATCCGGAAACGCAGAAATTTTTGGACCAATTGATGAGATTAGCGAATGAGTTTGGACTCGACGAACAGGAGTATAAGTGCATCGCTTGCGGCCGACCTATTGGTATGATTTATGGCAAATCCCGATTGTGTCACTTCGATGGACACCAATACTGTCTCGACTGTCACGCTAACGACGAGTCCATAATTCCGGCCCGAGTTATACATAACTGGAATTTCCGCAAATATCCGGTCGCCAAACGAAACAAACATTTATTGATTTCGACCGAAACGGAGCCACTCTTTGATATCAAAATATTGAGTCCATTACTGTATTCAATAGTGCCTGAAATGAAGCAAACACTGGACCTGAGGACTCAACTCTTCTATTTGCACGCATATCTGTTCACATGTCAGGAGAGTATAGCTATTGAAATGCGCAAAACTGTTTGGCCGCGCGAACACCTCTTTCAACACATTCATCTCTATTCGGTGACCGATCTCTTTCAGGTTTGCCATCAATTGTCATGTCATTATACAATGCATTCATTATACAGTTTAACCATTAAATATAGGTTCAAAACAATCTAATGTCTCAAACATTGGCTAAAGTGATTACGTTCGCTAAGAATCACGTCCTGTCGTGTCCTTTATGTACACTAAAGGGATATTTCTGTGAGATCTGCAATTCGTCGCAAATTCTCTATCCATTCAATACTGAAGCGACAAAAAGGTGCGAAAAATGCAAAACTGTATTTCATTTGCGATGTTTTAACGAAAGGTATGACAAACACTCGTGTCCTAAATGCCTACGAATGGAGAAACGGGAAAACAAATCACTTTTTTCTCAGAGTTCTGGTAATAATCAATCGGTTTAAAAACCTTGAATTTTATTTATTCACTGTTTTAATGAAATAAATAATATATTGAATAAATTGTTGTTATATTAATTGTACTTTTATCCAAAATTTATTTAATTTTATAAGCAATTTGTATGAAAAATGTAAAGTTTGAACTTAACTTATATTCTTATAATAATCGTTGTGTTATTAATTTGAGTGCATATAATATGTATTAATATTTTATTTCAAAGAATATTCTTAAATATGATTTTATGAAACATATTGTGATAAAAACGATGTTTTGTATCTCAGACTATGTACTCATTATTTAATGGATTTTTTTTATTAAACGCAAATTAATTCAATTTATTTAATTGAATTTCACTTTTTTCTGGAAACTGTTTCAATGAATCAATTTTTAGAGATTGAGTTATAGATACGAAAACTATTACTGTATTAAAAATTAAATTTGATATTCATTTTGAACACAACACTCCACAGACCACTTTTTAATGATTTAATTACAATTAATTTGATTAAAAATAAAATCAGTATTTGTGTAAGTTTTATACAGTGCAACCTTTACAGAAGAAACCATTATAAAGGAAACTTTTGCTCATTAAATCATATACTGTACGTTGAATTTACTGTATTGAACGGTACAGTTATGCGATCATAAGCTCTATAGAATCATCTTCACTAGAAACATAAACAACGGATTTATAAATCCGCCAAACTTTTGTAACCTTGTTTAAATTAAATGTTTAAAATAATTATATAAAACATAATATAGAATTAAAACTTTATTAGACAACAATACATACAGTTCTAGTTTCTATTCTAGACCAGACAATTGTAAGGCCGAAGTATTCCTCACCCGAAGAGTCCAACCTTCGGAAATATTTTGAAACAAACAAATACCTAAATAATTTTTAATTTATTGTCAGGATCTGGGATTTGTGGCAAACATTTGTTTTATGTTTATAATCCATGTAATCTACCATTTTAAAACTCATAATTAACTCATATATTATGATTGAACTCTTCGGATGAAGAATCTTCGGTGGTACAATAGATTGGCGGATTTATAAATCTATTCGATATTTGATTTGAGATACATTATGATAATATTCTGATACAGTACCACATTAAATTTAAGTTGATATAAAAACTAAATAATAAACGATATAATCAGGGAGACTTAGAGGAGCCAGTGTAGAGCCACTCTATTGTAATGGGCTAATGTAATGTCTATGGGTGCATGTAGGCAAAGCCTACTTTTGAGATGTCCTGGATATAATAAAATCAACGTCACTTTATTTGTATAAATTTTTAAAGTAATTCATATCTTAAGTTTGGTCATAGACTTAACATAGAATCCCATGTTATTTACCATACATGGGAGAGGAGAGTAATACTGTTATAACTTATAATACGATGATTTTCATATTACCATAAATAGAAGTTAAAAACATTATTCCTGTTATTCTACATATTTAAATATTCTCATTAATTTTTTAATTCACTTATTTAACGATTATTTAATATAATTATAATTAACTTAATATTCTCTTATTTTTAGTATAATGTTTAGAATCTAAATTTTAGATTATTATTTGTAAACTTTAAAAAAGTGATTATTATTTGGATAATATATCAATATCATTATATTGCAAGAGAATCCGAATTAATTATCTCAATAATACATTATGTTTAATATATAGGTTAACTAAAGTACATTAGTTAATTGTATTATTTTATTAAATTTAATTAAATTTTAAGTTTTAATATGATAAGCAATAATTATTATTAAAGTTTGAATTAGTTTTGAATTTGGAATTTTAATTGCAATATAAAGTTTTTAGTTTGTGAGTTTAATGGCATACAGTATAATAATATAAGAGTTACGTTATATCCTTATAACTTTATAAGCTAATGACATCAAATGTTAGATAACAGTAATTAGATTTCTTAATATCACATTATACTTTATATCAAAGTAATTATTTAAACAAATATATCAATAGATTTGATAGATTTTCACTAAATATTTAATGTCTAGGAATTAAAATCAATGAATTTAAAGAAATTAAAGATTAATAAAATGCTATATTTTCAAGTTCAAGACTTTGGTTAACTATTAAATATGGATATAAAGCACTTTAAATACAGCATTGAATAGTGTATAATGAATTGAAGTGATGTATGTCTACGAGACATACCATTACGATAACTAATGAAAGAAAAGTGAAGATTTAAGACTCAAAGAAAGCTGACATTTGGGGTTATTTTTGGCACACATTCACTGTTCGTAAATAAAGTTCTTTAGACTTGTCTCTCGTCAGGCGTGGTCTTCGAGTCTGTTCTGCATTATTGACGTTATATCGATGTTATGGTGTGTTGTGTACAGTATGTCAACACTATTACACAAACTGCACATTCACTGCACATACTGTACGTTATCTGTCATACAGTATCGACGGCTTATAAGTTGCATATTTGACGCCAGCAATCAATAGGTAGACTCACTAGTGATGCACACAATTATAGCCCATAGGCTATCATTTACAGGTCATTTGAAAGATGTTTAATTGTAGTTAATTACAAATTAATATGCGTTCATATTGATGATGATCACTTATTTTAGGTAACCTTAGCTTATTGTAGAGTATATGATGAGCTATATTAGTGTGTTTGGAGTCAAATCTAAACTATTAGTGCATCACTTGTATTGAGAATAGAGTTGTAGAGAATCGCTCACAAAGTATAGTAAATCCAAATGAATTGAATTTGAGAATTACAAGAGAAAAACATTCAACTGTTTTGTATACTTTGAATTATATTAAATTTAAGACACATTTTATACTAAAAACTAAATTCATTCGGTTTTACATATTTTACCATATCGACCATGATTAAAAAGGCAACTTTTAACAACTTTAGGTCAATAGACACTCATAGAGGGAGACAATGCCATACAATACGTGTAGTATACTGTATATCAGACTAACAGTGAATAAAAGG